ATTTTTTGGGATACAAGCAGCCCTGATGTGTTTTTAGAACAGCACACACGATGTAACCATCACTGGGCCCAGCCCTTTCATAGGGCCTGGCAGTAGTTCCCCTTGTGTGATCAATCCCTTCCCCTTGAGTGTGGGTTGGCCTAGTGACTGGCTTCTAATGAATAGAATACAACAGATGTATTAGATATCTCTTCCAAGATTAGGTTATAAAACACTGAATTCTGCCTTGCTTACACACTCAGGCTCTTCTTGCTTGCTTGCTTGATCTGATGAACCAAGCTATTGTGTTGTTAGATGCCCTAGAGAGAGGCTTACACAGCAAGGAAGTGAGAGTGGTCTCCAGACAATAGCCAGTGAGGAACTGAGGTCCTCAGTCTAACAGCCTGCAAGGAACTGAATCCTTCCAAGAAGTAAGCTTGAAAGCAGATTCACCCCCATTTGAGCCATAGGACTCAACTAAGCTGTGCCTGAATTCCTGACCCAGAGAAACTGTGAGATCATAAATGTTTGTTGTTTTAAACCACTAAGTTCTGAGGTTGTTTAACCTAGTTGCTGATTCCCCATCCATAGAAGGGGTATAATAGTGCCTACCCTCCTAGAGTTATTGTTACGTACTTAAACACAAACTGTTACTATGGTAACTGCATGTTTTTAATCTCGTTAACTCTGTGATAATATGCACAAAGAGGCTGAATGACAATATTACTTCAGACATTTCTATTAGGTAGGTTCATGAAATTAGTTTTGATAGATTGGTACATATCTTTATTTCATAGTTTTCAGAATTGTCCAGCTACAGATGCAGACTTCAGCATTTATCAGTTTGGGATAACTTCTAAAAGTCATAGACTAAAACTGAAATAAACCATGCTTGAATTCAGTGGTTCCCAAAGTATAGTCCAAGACTGCAGTATTAAGATATGTACTAGGTTGAACAGTGTCTGTTCATGAAATTAGTTTTGATAGATTGGTACAAATCTTTATTTCATAGTTTTCAGAATTGTCCAGCTACAGATGCAGACTTCAGCATTAATCAGTTTGGGATAACTTCTAAAAGTCATAGACTAAAACTGAAATAAACCATGCTTGAATTCACTGGTTCCCAAAGTATAGTCCAAGACTGCAGTATTAAGATATGTACTAGGTTGAACAGTGTCTGAAGATTCACATCTACCTGGATGCTGTGTATGTGACCTTGTTTGGAAATAGGGTCTTTACAAGTGTAATTAAGTAATTACATTTAAAATGTAATTAAATGTAATTAATATTAAGATGAAGTCATACTAGATTAGGGAGAGTAGGCCCTTAAATCCAGTGACTGGTGTTCTTACATGAATGTCATGTGAAGACATGCAAGGATGGAGGCCATGTGACTTCAGGAAGAGATTGGGATTGGAGTGACGCAGCTACAAGCCAACGAATACCAAGGATTGCAGGCTACCACCAGAAGCTAGGAGAGGCAGAGAACAGATTCCTTCAGAGAATCCAGAAGGAACCAACTATGCCAACACCTTGGTTGCAGACCTCTGGTCTCTTGAACTGCAAGAGGATAAACATGTTGTTTTAAACTACTCTGTGGTAATTTGTTATGATAGCTCCAGGAACCTAATACAGATTTTGGTATATGAAAGTGGAGTGCTGCTATCATAAATGCCTTAAAATGTGGAACTGTCATTTGAGTTGGTTAATGGGTAGAGGCTAGAAGAAATTTGAACTTCATGATAAGAAAAAGAAAAAGAAAAAAAGTCTAGACTGCCTTGAAGAAACGTGGTAGAAATACAGATGTTAAAGGCAGTGCTGGTGAGGGCTAAGAAGCAAGTGATAAGGACAGTAGAGAAAGTTTCTGTTATCTCAGAGAATTCATGTATTGTCATGAACAGAATGTTGGTAGAAGTATGAACATTAAAGGTGCTTTTGGTGAGGCCTCAGAACAAGTGAGGAACATGTTGTTGGACATGGGGGGAAGGTTTCCCACTGGGGGGAAGGTGATCTTTGTTATAAAGTGGCAGAAAACTTGGCCGAATTCAGTGTTCTCCTCTTGGGTGGAAAGTAGAACTTTTAAACAATGAACTTGAATATTTAGCTGAAATTTCCAAGCCAAATATGGAAGGTATGGCCTGGTTCCTTGCCTTGCTGCTTATGGTAAAATGCAAGAAGAAAAAGGAAGAAACTATTAAGCACAAAGAAACCAGAATATGATTATTTGGAAAATTTACAACCTATTCATATTCATATTGCAAAAGATGCTAAGGCATGCTCTGGAGAAATCACTATGCATGTGTCTGGGAAACGTGTTGGAGTGAATATGCAGGTGACCAAGGATCCAGTCAACCATCTCAGCAGAAGCCAGGAATAGAGACTAGGTTATAGAGGGTATTCAGAAAGGGTCTGTGGATAACCCTGTCATCTAATGGTGTGGTTCCCCTTGACTTTGACAGATGACTGGTAGGTCTTTGAGAATGTTCTATCAGCAGAAACACTGCCAGCTTGGACTGAAACAGGATGAAATGAAGGAAAGCTGTCAGACTTATGGAATTCTTTAAGCAGGAAATGGGCTGTTCAGGGGGTAGAACTGCTGATGAGAGCAGAAGCTGAGGGCTGAGAGGACAGAGCCGATGGAGCCTCTGAGGGCCTAGAGGCTGGGGTTGGTGGAGCCTCCCAGAGCACAGAAGGCAGATGGAGCCAGGAGCCACAGATGTTTATTCTAAGTTCTTGAACCCTAATGGAATTTTCCTTGCTGTGTTGCAAACTTGCTTTAGACCAGTGATGGCTTTATTCCTTTCATTTTTTCCCTTTGGGAATGGTAATATCTATCCTGTACTTGTTTCACCATTTTATTTTGGAAGCTGACAAATTGTCTAGTTTCATAGATCCATAGATGCAGAGGAGGCCAGAACGAATCATACCCAGAGTCTCATCCATGCCTGATTTAGGTGATTTAGATTCTGAGATTTGAAACTTTTTGAGTTGATGTTGTTTAGATGAAATTTTGGATTTAGAGTAATGCTGGAATGGGTTAAGACTTTTGGGGATGTTGGGATGGGGGAATGTATTTTGCATGTGAGAAAAACATGAATTTTGAGGGAACAGAAGGCAGACTACTAGGTTTGTCCCTATAAAATTTATGTCTGATGGAACCTATGAATGTGACCTTATTTGTAAATAGGCTTTACAATATAATCACATGAAGATGAGGTCACTCAGGAATGGGGTAGCACTAAATCCAATGAGTGAGTGAATCTTTATAAAGAGAGAGACACACACACACAGAAATACATAGGGAAGAATGCCATGTGAAGACAGAGATTGGAGAGATGCAACTATAAGTCAAGGAATGACAAAGATTGCTGGCAACCACCAGAAGTTAGGAGACAGGCATAGGATAAATTATTCCTCAGAGCCTCCAGAAGTAATCAACCCCACTGACACCTTGATTTTGGATCTCTGGCCTCCTCAACTGAAATCCAATAGAATAAATATCGTTGTTTTAAGCCACCTGGTTTGTGGTATTTTGTTATGACAGCCCTAGCAAACTAATACATGATGTTATTTGCCTTTTTTTTCCATGCTGTCATAGGCATAGGGTAGAATTTCCAGAGGCTATGTGATGTGTGATATGGTAAAAGATGGAACACAGAGCAGATGTGAGAATCCAGCTATATTCTAGTAAGCCAGACACTAAAAAGAGTTACAAAAATGTAAAACAATGATACTATTATTAAATTTTTGTTTTAGAAGATAGTTATTTTTTATTACAAATGTTGTTTATGTTAATATACTGGGTTTATTATTATTTTTAAACTAATTAAAAAGTTTTCCTAGTGTTAATTCTAGTTTGGTAAATATTGATAGATATCACCCACATAAACTAAAGCTTTTTGGGATCCTCAATAATTATTAAGAATATAAAAGGAGTACTGAGTCTAAAAAGTTTGAAAACCACTGGCTTAATTGTAAATTTTTAAGTTCTAAGGAGATGCCTTGGAGTTTGTGTTTGTGCTATGTGGGATATACTATAAAGCATATGTACTTCACAGGGCCTGGTTTTCCAAAGCCTTGCAGTTTCAAATATTGCTATGTGGGATATACTATAAAGCATATGTACTTCACAGGGCCTGGTTTTCCAAAGCCTTGCAGTTTCAAATATTGACCTTGCAAGGACAGGAAATTTTCCTCAGGCTATAAGTCTCTGTTGCAAGATAAGAATTGTGGCACAGCAGGTTGCTGGCTCAAAGACAGACTAGTTGCTGATTGTTCTGTAAAGATTCTGAGAAACTGTTAGAGGGAGAAGGAATGTTTGTTAAGATCAAAGCTTTTGTTGATAGCCTACTGGAATGTCATCTGGCTTGTTTCACTGAAAGTTACCAGCCTGTACTGTTCAACTATAACCCCACCTTTGTCTCTTCCTGTAACTTCCTGCTCTGGAGAATAAATGCAGGAAGAGAACCCCAATTCAGCGTTAATTTCCCAAATGGAAGGGTTGGCTCTCGCTTGAGCATTCCCAGGGAAGTTAACCACTTCGGGGCTTCTCACTGCTCGGAAGAGATGGGCTTTGAGTAATCATTTGTGTCTCCATCACCCAGGGGAAGAGGGGTGACAAATCCGTGGGGGGCAAAGCAACACAAAGCAACAGTGCTACTGCTTTTTGGAGAGTAATCAACTTTTATCTGCACAATGAAGACAGTGCTTAAAAAATGAACTTTAGAATCACATTGAAGTAAGTTAGATTTTCCACTTCTTCCACTTAAGATTATCTGAGCCTCTGTTTTTCTTATTTGTAAAGTGGAAAAAATAATATCTATCTTATAGGAAGCATGAGAATTAGTAGATTCAGTAATATAGATGTAAAGGGGTAACTATTAAAATTATTTGAAACAAATATTTTCATTCAATCAGGCTAAGTGGCTTATGGTTTCTAGCTGTAAGAAGAGGGGAACAAACCCGAAGTCTAAGGCCTCAAATTTGAATGGTTGACAATGAAATTCCCATCTATTACTTACTGGACCTAATGTGGAGAAACTTGATGAGACATGAAGACTCCAAGTGCAGAGGAAGAAATTGTGGAAGTCCTCTGGACCATGGGATTTTCTTTTCCCTGGGGAAAATCTTTTGGTCGCTTATCATAATTGCTGCTTGTTAAAACTGGTAAAATACTCGTTAAGGACTATGATTTTCATGACTAAATGATTTGTATGTACAAACCCAAATAACATTTTAGAATCATAGAATCTCTTCTGTAGCAACATTAGCTCAGTTTTAGGTACTCTTCTGTCTAATGCAAATTCTGCATGCTTAGGTTTAGGGGTTAAATGATAGATATCGATGTCTTACAATGTCTTCTGTTCTCCCTAGTGTACAGTTATTTCTCTCCTAACTGTGACTGGCCTTTCTATAAGGAGCCATCACTATAATCAGGCCCCAAACCACATCAGCATCCAGACTTCATGCTTTTTTTCCTGGTGGGAGAGGGATAGACCTGGGGAAATGAGCTATGAACCATCATTGTTGACATGGAAGTAGATAAAAGATTTAATAATTTTTTTAGATCTGTACCTAACTGACAGGTGGTCTCTATAAGCAAGGAAAAAGAAAATGATTAATGCAAAATGATTTCATTGCTGTGGTCAGCAACAGCAGTCCAGGTACTCTGGATCAGCGTCTAATAACCTGTGTGAAGAGGGTGCGGGGACTTGATAAGATTCCTAGAGTGGGGGAATACTGGTTCTTTGGTTAGTTTTCTTCTATCACAGTGGAAGAACCCTGCCATCATTACTTATAAAAAGAAAAGAAAAAGTCACATTCCCGATGAGGTTTATCCTATTTTAAATTTTAATACTCCTTAACATTCCCTATATCCCTTTCCTACTTTATATTTTTCTCCATTGTACTTATCACCGTCATAGTCCATATTCTACTTACTTTGTGTATTGTCTGTCCTCTCTCTGAAATGTAAGCTACATAATTACTGTATACCTAGTGCCTAGAACAGTGCCTGGCACATTAAGAGGCACTTATTATCTTTGAAAGAATAAAGGAACAAATGAATTCAACTTCATTTGTATTGAAATCAAGACTACCTGACACACGTTCCCCTAATTTCTTCACCTCAGAATGTCTGAATCCTCGGCCATCTTCATCCTTTCCCTTGTCAAGACTAACCCTTCAGCTCTGCCCTTCATTATTCTCCTGCCCTTTTTTGGATATTGCAGTTTCAATTACTTCTACTCATTTTTATTTTAAAAATTTTTCTCTTCTGACCAATTCTCTTCAGCCTGCACACATGCTCAGATCTACCCTAAACTGAAAATCCCTCCTTTACTCTTGCATCCTTGAGATGTCGCATTTTCTTGCTCTTTCCTTTAATACATTTTCTTGAAAGAGTATCCATATCTGATGTTTCCTCTTTCTTAACACCCATTCTTTATATTTTGCAATTTAGGTTTCATCCCCACAAAATCTAACAGTTTTATTTGATTCAGATTAAATCTGAATTCTCTTCAGCATCTCTATGGCATCTGTTAACTGTGTCCAACTTTTCCTTGAAATTCTTTCTGTGGCTTCTGAGATATTTATCTAACAGTTTTATTTGATTCAGATTAAATCTGAATTCTCTTCAGCATCTCTGTGGCATCTGTTAACTGTGTCCAACTTTTCCTTGAAATTCTTTCTGTGGCTTCTGAGATATTTCATGATTTTCTAATGCTGGTTTTGTCTCCATTATCTCTTCCTCCTGCTGCTCTTTAAACTGCTCATTTCCCATACCTTCAACCATTACCTCTGTATGGAGAATTTTTCAAATTATATCTTCAGCTCTGACTTCTCAACTGAGATCCAGTCCTCCTGCATATCCTAGATTCATTGCCTGAGCACAAGACCTTGCTGTTGAACACTTACATCCTCTCTTACTTCCTTCCATCAATGGGTTCCACCTCAGATTTTGCAGCTTCCCCCGTCTTTCATCCATGTCCCTCTTTCATGTCTACATTTGCCACCCTATGGTTTACATGTCCAGTTCTCCTTCCACATATCCTCAACAATAACACTAGGTTCATTTTTATAAAGATATGCTGATCATATCACCCACTGTATCAGAAACCAACAGTTAACTGTTGCTTAAATAATAAAGTCTACACCAAAGATTCAAGATCTTTCATAACTTGACTTCAACTCACTTTCCCACTATATTTGCTAATAATTCTTAAGCTCTCAGCAAAATGAACTCCCAAACACCTGGAGCTTTCCTACCGCCATGTTTTTTTTTTTTTTTTCTCTCTTTGTACTTACAATCCCCTTTCATCAAATTTTTTCTCATTATGTAAGACCCAGCTCAAATATCAAATAGATATATAACACCAGCAGTATGGGATTCATATCATTGCAAAAGTATAAAATAGTATAAGAACCAAGTGTGAAGACTTTATTTCCACTGCTAGATTACATAATGTCTTTTAAGATAGAGTCCGATTTTCCATTTTTGTACCTTGTAGGTAATAGGTACTTGATATCTGTATGATATCTGTATGCCTAGAGACACTGATATGAAGGAATGCATGTGTAATTCAGTGAATATCCAACCTTTATAATAAGAAAGTATCTTCTATCCGTCAACAAGATTACAATGTGTTTTGATGGCAGATTTGCTTTTTTATTATTCTGATTGTCTGCTATCTATGGCCAATTACATTGACATTTATTCAACTTGCAGTTACTGTACATGTATTATGTGTCAGGTATTTTTTAGATTTGGCTAGATGCTTTCAAAGACAAATGAAGACACAGTTTTTGTTCTAAGAAATTTATCTATGATTTAAAAGATAGAATTAATGAAGATATGGAGATGCATTTTAACCTCTGTGTTTTCTTCATTCATACATAATTTCTGCACTATATATGATTACTCTAACTGACTTTAAAGGATATTTGCTTCCACAGGTAAGAGCAGAACATCATGCTCAGTCATAATCTCAATATTGTGAGCGATGTGCACTGATCCCTTGGCGCCTTCCTCTCCAAGAGCCATGGCAAATAATTCCACCTTCAGTTCTGCCTGCAAACCAGCTGCCACCTATAAGACATAATGTAGCTTTAGGATCAGGTATATCTGAGTCCAAATCCTGGTTTTAATACTAATTTGGGCAAGTTACTTAAACTCTCTAATCTTTAGTTTCTTCACTTATAAATTTGGCACTAAGAAACAGTAGCTGTTATAAGCATTTAGCAGAATTACTTTATAATTTAGTTAGGTAAATCCATTGAGTAAATGGGGCCAAGGATAAATTGTTGAAGGTCAAACCAGGTGCTATTTAGGAGAAAGCATAAGGAAACTAAACGGCAGCAAATTGGAAGTGGCACTGAAGGCAAACTAATGCAAAACCCGTAATTGTGCTATTTCTTGAATGCCAGTAGTGAATTTCTATCTATTGACATCCTTGCAGTTAACCTAAGATAAATATAAATTTAATCTTAAAATTAGTCTGAGAGCCTGGGTGAATCCCATAACTTCCCTGCCCTGCCCCTTAGTTTTTAGTATTCTTAATGCAGGATGTATAAAGTGACAAAAAGCCAGCAGAGGGAGACAGAATTAGTTTAAATGCCAAACTGCTTAGGTTTGAAAGCTACATGGAAGAGGTTTGTACCAACAGAAAAGAAACCTGATATATAATGAAGAAGAAACACAGTGAGGCATGGGCTTTTTGCCTTGTTCCTTGAAAAGAACACTAGCCAGAAAAGAAAGAGCTGTTTATGTTTCTAAGCTGCCTCCCCAGGAGGTGGGTTAAAAAGCAGATTTGGGAACAGTTATGTGAAAAAAAATAAATCAGAAACTACCACATGGATAGCAATTAGATAAAATGGATTTTTTTTCTTCAATATAGTTTTATAAATAATGGAATTGAAAAAGTTTCAATTTTTTCAACAATGTGCTTGTGAACCTATGCAAACTGGAGGGTATCCAACAGCTCTGTTTCTGAGAATCAGACCCTTAGTCCTCCCAAGCCCAGCAATCAGAGCAGGGCTGGATAATGATAAAATTCAGCATGAGGGGAGCTGGAATACTGCCCTCAGACAGGTTTACCCGGGCTTTGAGCATATTCATTTAGTGTTGGCAACTAACCAAACTGAACAGTGGTTAGATTTACATATGGAGAAGACTATAGATTATATTCTTTGCCAGAGCCAAAACCTACTGTCAAAAAGAAAAAAAAAAAAAGACTAAAAAAACCTAACAGTACAGAGTGAGCTTCAAAGAATACATGCTGGGTTTTTAGTACCTATAAGGTTGATCCAACAGTCATTTTGGCTTTTGGCATAATCCCTACTTTAAATTAAAATGAGATTTGATAACTTCCCAGAACAGTGGAAGAAGGGCTTGCTTTGATTTTTGTTTTTTGCTTTATGTTGTGAAGGTTCTGAAATCTTGACACAGTATGGTAATGCATTATATCAGAGAGTCACTCATAAATTAGTGGATTTAATCCCAAAATGTATTTCTGTTTGGAGCTTCACCCTGCATCCTGCTGTTTTTTTAATAGATCATAAGATAATAGAGCTAGAAGAGGGCTAAGAAATGATACGGTCTGAGGAAAACAAAGCTCAAAGCATCACTGAGCTGGTGGCATACTCATGACAAGAAGCCAATTAACTTAGCACTACACCAAACCAACCCTTCTTTTTTTTGATCAGTAAGGGGATCGCAACCCTCTGCATGGTGTCGTCCACACCATGCTCAGCCAGTGAGTGCACCGGCCACCCCTACGTAGGATCCGAACCCGTGGCCTTGGCGCTACCAGCGCGGCACTCTCCCGAGTGAGCCACGGGGCCGGCCCCCAAACCAACCCTTCTGTATGGGCATATAATAACTGTGGCTGCTGTAAGAGCTTCAGTCTCAGGGTGCACTGTGTGCTTGTCATGGGACTGGATACCCTTGCTAACTGCTCTCATGAGCTTACACATATTCCCATCTGTGTGGAATGGTTCATGCATCTACTGGACTTCCTCATTTCGTTCTGTCATTCAATTCCATATCTCTTGAATAACTCCTATGTGCCTGCCTTTGTAAGCTCCTTACGTGTGTCACTCACTTTTAACATCCTCTGCACATTATCAGTGGTATACGGGAGAAACTCAAAGTTTGCTGAGTGAAAGGAAAGGGGTGCTATGCACTGATCAAGACTTACAAGTGTGATTTATTATAATTTGAGATAAACTTTTGTTTATATCATGCTCTATTTCTGAAATTATAATTTAAAACCAGAGTGTACAATTAAAGTACATATTTTTTACTGAACATCCTATTTGGGGGTATGTATCAAATAAAGTTGAAACAGACATTTTTAAATTTGTATTTTCTGAGATTTTTGGAGAAATAAGGTAACTAATGAATTTAATATATACTACTATACCTTAGTATGGTATTAAATAGTATTCTCTGGCAAATACCAAGAGAGCAAACCATATTCACACAAAATATAAAGAATGGAATATTATTTATTTTTCCAGAGGATTTTCCACTTTGCAGAAGAATTTAATGTTTAAAAAGTAGTTTTCATACAACTGTTCATGACTGTACTAATGGGACAAGTGATGTGAGCTTCAGAAATGTTTCTATAGCTGAAAGTTTAACTCTGTTTACACACAGGATCTGTCTCATGGTTATTCACATAAAATGAGTGACATCAAGCCACATATTATACCAATACCAGGAATATTTTGCTTATGATACTGGAGAATTTAGATTTACACATGGTTTAAACTGAATGGGCAGAATGATTTAAAAGCCCACTTCACTAGAAATATGTACACATTCACATGTGCAAGCACAAACACACACAACAGATAACACACAGGACTTACAGGCCCAGGTTTATAAGTCACTTTCAGTCCTGTGCTGGGTGGGGGCTGCTTCACCCTAAACCTACCAGGCAGAAAGATGAAAATAAATTTATGCCATAATGAAAAACATGAGCAAGGAATGAACTAGGATGTTATAAAATCAGGAAGGTGTTAATATTCGCTACACAGGAGCTGGGGGTCCATCCCATTAGAAAAACAACCTGAATATTCAGTTGAGAGAAGAATCTGGGGCCACTTCACAATTGCCTTTCCAGCAGTTTTCATCAGCATAAAACAGATTCCAACGTGAGTTAGTTTCAACCCTTTGTTACAGGTTTCTTATGAACAGCTTGGTTGGGCCTGGGTTTGGCTGGTGTGTGCATTTTGGCGTAGCTGCCAGCATGAATGCAAATGCTGGCAGCCAGATCATTAAGCTGAAGAATGAAGGCTCTTTTGGAAATCAGTGGAGCGTGGGAGCCAGTCTAGCTATGTCTTGGTATGGGGTTTGCATGTTTGGGGAGAAGAGAAACAGAAAGGGCTCAGAAAATGTTGACGACCTTGAAAACCTCCATGCTCACACATGGTGCTTAATTCATCTCTTTCCCTTCCTGTGGTTTGTGGGTTCTGCCTGAAGGTTAAAGACCTGGAGTAAATTAAAATGCCAAGCAAAGCCTACCTCCACTCTGACCCCAACCTGCTCCTTCTACCAGCTGAATTTAACAAGCTGAGGAGTGAAATCTCTAAAACTAAAATTCTACCCCGGAGAGACAGGGTCTGCATGGATGAGCTTTATTAGTTTGAGGTTGACCCTCTTTCTCCCCACCCACATTGTTGGCAAGAACCTAAAAAAACAACAATGTCTGATCTGGTGGCTTGAGTCCCTCATGAGGTTGTTTCCAGGGAAGGAAACATTATTCTTGAAGCTGGGGATTTGCTTCAACTAAAATGGGACAATGAACTTTCAAAGTGGATGCTCCTGTTGTTTTGCTCCATCTGATCTCCAGTCCTGAGTCCAGGATCACAAATGTTCTTGAAGGATTTGCTACTTACACTGAGAATAACTCTGCAATTAAAATAAACATTTATTCTCTTTTTTATGAAAAAAAAAACAAAAAAAACCCCAAAACAGATTATGCTTAAGTTTAATTCAAAATAGAATAGAGGACATTTTGTAATTGGGAGTGGCCCTGGTATAGACATATGATGCATATACTGACCCAATGGGAAGGACTGAGATCCCACATGAAACTGTTAATAAAGGGAGGTACCTCTGTGTGGTGGAGCTCAGCTCTGAGGTCTAGCCTTGCTCTAGCCTCAGGACCTTAAAACAAGTCACTCAGTTTCTTCCTTTATAAGAGTCTCTAAGGTCTTTGCCTCAATTATGCAGAAATAATGTAATTAAAAGGACTTTTCAGATCATAAATTATAAACAAATGTCAGTTGATATTATAGTTGGCGGATTTGAGAAAAACACTTCCAAGTTTTGTGCATTAGTTACTGTAACGCATGTACAACCTCTTCTTCCTTTTTTGCTAGTGTAAATCAGGATTTGAGTTGCTTCTAACGAAGTATGAAAAAATGACTAATGGGAGGGTAAGGACGTATCTTCCACATAGTTGGGACTTGGTAAGTACTTATTTATTGAAAATGAATGGATAATTAAAGGGTAAATTAGTGATTAAAAGACTGAATGAATAATGTGAAGATTCAAGATTGGAGGTGTAATTACAGTTCAGTTCAATAAACATTTACTGATGAAGGTAGTCAAAGACAAGTCACAGAGTAGCAGAAGGTAACCTGAGCAGTCGTTTGGTGCCTTGGCCTCACCTGCAGAAGTCCACTCCAACATTCCTGAGCTTTACAGTGGTTTCGTAGGTATGTCCTTCTTTAAGCACTCCAAAGTTCACTGAGGATGGGAGAAGATGGAACCCAAAAAGAGATGACTTTGCATTATTAATAGCAGCTGATGCAACAGAGGATGTGTTCACTTTTCCTCCAACAGAATCTTGCACCTTTGTATTAGGAAAAATTAAGCAAATAAAATGGTTCCATTTTGAGTTCTCAAGATAAGAAAAAGTCCCTGTCACCAAAAGAAAATAAATGTTTGGCTGGGAGAAGAAATGAACAGGTACAGTCTCATGTAATCCTTACAACAGTCTTGTAAGAAAGTATTTTAGGCTCTGTTTTAAGGCTAAGGAAGCTTAAATTCAGAAAGCAGAAAAACAGATATTTTGCTCAAGTGGCAAAGTAAAGTTTCCAACTCAAGTTTGCCTATTCTGAAGTCTGTGCTCTTTCCTCTGTGCAGGCAGTTATCCAACGTCACTCCCATCAGAATCTCCTGGAGAACTTAAGACAAAAATTGCTGACTCCCTCCCCCAGAATTTCTCATTCTGTAGGTCTGGGGCAGCACCCTAGAATTTGCATGTCAAACAATTTCTCAGGTGTTGCCAGTGCTGTTTGTCAGGTAATCACACTCTGAGAACTGTTGCTCTAAACCTTATTGTTATTCCCCAGATCGGCAGCTCCGATGTTACCTGGGAGTTTGTGAGACTCTCAGACCTCACCCCACACCTAGTGAGTCAGAATCTACATTCTCACAAGATCACCAGGTAATTCATATGCACCTTAAGGTTTGAGAAACACTCCTATCACATATCAGTTACACACATTGCAATAAATTCTCTATGATGGGTCCAAGGAAGTTTTCCTAACAGAGTTCGGTAGAATCTTAATCTCAGAGGCTTTGAGAAAGGAAGGAGCTTGTTTTCAAAAACTGAGAGAAACCACAATGGCTGAATTATGGTGTGTTTGAGGCAAGGTGAGAGGGGACAGAAAATGGGGCCATGTCTTGTGCTCATGCTAAGTTGTTTGGATTCTGTCCTGAGTCATAAGAAGGGTGGTCAATGATCTCTTTGGCCAGTAGTGTGCTGGTAAACTGGCTCCAGTATGGCCGATTTCAAGCTATCAGTGGTTTACCTGGGTCAACAAATCCCTCTCATGAGCCCGGACAAGGGGGCTCCAGCAAAGCACTGCTTTAGTTTGTACGTGTGCCTTAAAGGCCTTCACAGTGAGATGGCAGATACAGTAAATATCAGTACACACTGGCTGGAAAGTGATAACTTCAACAAATCAGAATTACATAAGATGCTGCTTGGCTCTGGGAAACATGTCCCCATGTCTCTCGTACCTTTGTGAGAGGTTGAGACTCCGGCTTGGAACTCAGCAAATAATAAGGCAACTTCACCTTTTCTTTTCTTGCTTGTCCTGCAACATCCTGCAGCAATGACTGGGTAGGAATTTTCACGGGCACAAAAGATTCTGGTTCTGTTAGAGAGAAAGCTTAAATTGTTCCACATAGACATTTTACTCAAAGACATTTGAGGTAATACCAGAATATATAAGCACATAAACCAACTTGGAAACTTTCTTTGCTTTTTAAAGAGTTTATTTAAAGGAACAAAGTCTTCTATTAATTCTTCTTTTATATGTTTACATTTTACAAAGCGATTTTACATACATCACTTCATGTTGGTCCTTACAACCACCCCATGAGATGGACAGATGCTATTAGCATCACTTTTCTTTACTAAATGAGAAAAATAAGATTCTAAGAAGTCAAGTGGCTGCCTATGATGAACGGAACTTATACCTACATCTTCAGAGTTCTTTCCACTGGATCAACAAGGTATAAGACAATAAAACATTGACTCTGAAAGATTTCTTAAAGGCTGGCTGGTTAGTTCAGTTAGTGAGAGCGTGGTCCAGGGTTCAATCCCTGGACTGGCCAGCCACCAAAAAAATAGAAAAAAAAAGAACCCAAAAAACAAATTAAGTAAAACAAAAAACAAAAACTGAGTGTATAAGATGACAGTGCTTAAAACAAACAAATAATTGAGTCTTAAAAATTTCTTTGATTCTGCTCCTATATTTACAGTTCTAAAAAGTGGGGTAGTAATTACAGTTAAAGTAAGCCAGGGAACTAAATCCACAGATCACTAAATCTGTAACTTATTCTTTTCCTCAGTTACGTGAAGTAGTGAGCAAAGGTAGATAATCCACACAGCAGCAGCTGTGTATATTTGTTCCAAATATTCAGGAGGTTGAAATCATATTTTAGATCATCATATTTAAAAATCCTTTCTCGGGCCAGCCCGGTGGCGCACTGGATAAGTGCACCGCCTGGGAAGCATGGCGGCGCTCCCGCCTGAGGGTTTGGATCCCACATATGGACCGGTTCCCGCTCACTGGCTGA